TTATGCAACTTCTGTTGTGCATGCTGTGCTAATGCTGTACCATTTTCGTTATTTTTTCTTAGGCTATACTTATGTTCGTATATTATTTTCTTTAGCTATTGTCCTGTTTGACCTATGTATGTGTTATCACAATTAAAACAGTCTATTTTGTAAATTACATTAGGCGTGTCTAATTTGTCAATCCTAGGTTTAAATTTTGCGAAACATTCATTTGCTAAAGTGTTTTTAGTTTTTTCTGCTATGTTGATATTATGTGGTTTGAATATCAACAACGTAAATACTTCTAAAGTATTTGACACGTGAAAATTAGATTAGATTTTGATTAAATTCGTTTTATTTAAAAAACTTTAGGTAGGTAAATTTTAGGTATTATAAACCTTATTAAAACAGACACTTATTTTGTTCAGCTAATCCAAAAATGCAATAATATACAGGACATTCCATTTAAAAAAACGCAACTTTAATACTTTTAGAGCCTTTGGGACACCCTGTACATTACAAAAATACTTTTAAAATGTGCGCTCGGTAGGCGCCGGACAATTCATAAAATAAATCTTTTTAAAAATCAACGGTTTAGCCGCAAACTTCCGTGCCGTATAGCGTGAATAACCCTGTATATATATGTAACATATAAAATGTGTTATAATTTTAGTGTGACCAACCATAAATAATTGTTACCAAAAAAGTTAGTTAGCTAACATTGTTTCTAACACATTTGAATGTTGGCTTGTGTGTCAAGACTCTTTGTCTTGTAATTTTTAAACAGCCCATTTTTTGTAATWGTAACAGTTCAGTATACCGATTTACKAATAAAAATATTATGTTTAAAAAAACTACGAAATAAATATTTATTCTATTTGTGCATCAAGTATAAATTTGTATTCAAATTTTATTAGTCAATATRAAATTCAGAATATACGACTGTGCAGACATAACTAGYAATTATCTGGCTGACCACTCGCAAACATTGTCCGATTATTTAAAAATCCATAACAATTTGGAATTGGATTATAAAATAWAAATTTTGTAWTTAAATTGAAGCCAAAACATAAAACTATTTCCTGAAAAAGTTTTAGATTTGTTACCTCAATACSGAAAATTTAATAAAATAATTAAGTTCAGACTTATAATAACTGTCCGACTAATTTACTAATTTACCCTATGAAGGGTCTGTAGCACTTTTCATGCTATTTAGACACCGTGTTTATGTATCGAAAAGCCTGACCACATGCAGTTCTTGTAATCACACAATAATTAGGTTCTTATGATTCTGCCTGTTATAATAAAATCAAGGAGAAGGAAATGGCCAGCAAAATTAGTAGTTTCGTGTTTTCATTGGTAAAAAAACTTAATGAGCAAGTCACTTTTTAGTTTATCGAACGCAGTATCAATGATCAATTAATTTGTTAAAATGTGTTATCAATAGCCTTAATTGATGTTTAATGGCAACGAAACTACGATAAAGTGCTTACCATCATTTTGTGTTGCAGGTAATGACGTATTTGGCATACTAAGTAGATCTGGCTGCTTAATCCTAATAGGTCCTAGTTCAATCTGGCCATTCAATGGAGCATTTTTAATGTAACTGGGTAGAAATGCATTACTGACTTGACCTCCAGTGTCAATATTCTTATTTGATCCCAATAGTTCATGTATGTTTGAAAAAGTACAAATATCACTGGGAGTTTCTCCTTTAGAATTCTTTACACTTTTGTCGGCTCCATAATTGAGCAGCTGTCTTACAATCTTTTCATTTCCTCGTTTGCAAGCCCAATGTAAGGCCGTCCTTCAAAGTTACAGATTGTTCTATAAAAAGTAGGGTTACGGGTTCCAGCGAAATATTTACCATCCGTTCACAGAGTTCTGGGAATTAACGTTTACGTTTCGGGAAAGGAGAATTTCTACCGCTTCGAGGTCACCAATGCATGATGCTTCGCGAAGTTTTTCTTCTAAGATATTGGCCATTTTAGGAACACACTGCACTGCATTTTGACGGATTGCTGTTTGACGCACAGATAAATACTAATACTCTGTACTAATCTCCACCTCCACCATAGACAAGATTCATATACACACTTAATTGACAGTAGATTAGCGCCATCTAAAAAGTTATACTCCACATAGCTCTCAACAAACACAAATACGCGCCATTAGTGATATCGTCACAAGATTTGCTGTGTGGTAGATATATTTAGCATCTAAAATATATTTAGCTTAGGCGTTCTGAAATATATCGATTTGTGGTGGATTATATTCAGCCTTCATCCACCGACTCACAGGTGGCAGCACCGCAGCACCATCTCCAACGGCCAGCATATATCTGGCCCCTAACATCTACTCCGTTTTGGATCAAATACCACTTCCAATATTGAATATTATTTATGCAAATATCTTTATATACAGTTTGTGTACTTTTACAAAATAAATGATTCATATTCTACAGATAAACATATACATATACAGGGTGATTCAAAATTGGCGTCATTCCTCTGGAGGTGTTGTCTGGCGCTGTTATAGGAGTACAGAAAAATCAATAAAATAAATTAATTGTTACTCAAAACTCAGAAATTTGCAAAAAACTATATCAGAAATACGGCAGCCATGTTTGTCAAGGTAATCTGCCTAATTAACACTGCGCAAATACCTGTTGCTTCGTAATTATTTAAAATTTCTGTAACCATGGATAAATAGAGTGCCAATAAGATAGGCAAGGATAAACGGTAAATTAAACAAGATTTGTTGACGAAATGTCAACCTGTTCTCATAACCTCGAATATGCGTGTTTATAAATAAACCCTACAACACCAGACATGTTGGGAAATGAGTAAATAAGATCTA